GCCAGGTTGGTACTTTGTGTCCGCAATGACTGACTGATTCTCGCAGTCCGAACGGTCAAGGGGATTGGCCTTCTCGATGCGGCCCCTGTTTATGAGTCGTTGCCCGGGTTTACGAGGTATGATATTTGTTCTGGATCGGATTTTATGGTGCTGACAGCTTAGACCTGAGGGAAACCTCCGTTGTGCAGCTTATTCTCCGTGCGGTCGGTATTATGCGTGGGCATCTCCTGACAAGTATGTCTTCTAATCTGTTTGAAGAGGAAAGGAGCTGACAATTTAGGGTGATCATCATCGACCCCTCCGTCGGACACGCCGTCTCTACCATCCCCGCCGAGAACGTCTTCGAACTGGCCTTCTCGCCTCTCGGTTCCTACCTCATCACCTGGCAGCGTCCGACGAAAGACGCAAACGGAGACGCCGTGAAGAACCTCAAGGTCTGGCGCGTGGTCGAAGATGGAGACGAGCACACGGTCGTGGGCAGTTTCGTGCAAAAGTCGCAGACCGGCTGGAACCTGCAGTACTCGGCGGATGAGAAGCTGTGCGCTCGCGTGGTCACCAACGAGGTCCAGTTCTACCAGAGTGAGAACCTTTCGACGGTCTGGAACAAGCTGCGCGTGGAGGGGGTAGCGGATTTTGCGCTCTCGCCGGGAAAGAACAGCCAGTCCATTGCGGTTTTTGTTCCCGAGCGTAAGGGACAGCCTGCCGCGGTCAAGGTGTTTGTTGTGCCGCAGTTCGGTGCGCCGGTGTCGCAGAAGAGTTTCTTCAAGGGTGACAAGGTGCAATTGAAGTGGAACGCTCAGGGTACTACTTTGATTGTGCTTGCGCAGACTGAGGTTGACCGCACGGGCAAGAGTTACTACGGAGAAACTACCTTGTACCTGCTCAGCTCAAACGGTGGCTTTGACTCGAGAGTGGAGCTGGACAAGGAGGGCCCAATCCACGATGTGTCGTGGTCGCCCAACTCGCGGGAGTTTGGTGTTGTGTACGGTTATATGCCGGCCAAGACAACCATTTTCAACTTCCGTGGTGTGCCCAAGCACACCTTCCCTCTGGGACCTCGCAACACCATCCTGTTCTCGCCCAGTGGACGATTCGTACTGGTGGCTGGCTTTGGTAATCTGGCTGGCCAGATGGACATTATCGACGTGGACAAGGACTACACCAAGGTCACGACGGTGGAAGCCTCCAACGCCAGTGTATGCGAGTGGTCTCCCGACGGCCAGTACATCCTGACCGCAACGACCAGCCCGCGTCTGCGTGTGGACAATGGTGTCCGTATCTGGCACGTCAGCGGTAGCCTCATGTACAACGAGGATATGCACGAGCTCTACGACGTCTTCTGGAGACCCCAACCCAACGTTCAACAATCTGCTGCCCCAGCCGACCCGCTCAAGAACCCCCCCACTCCGCACCCTTCTGCGCTCGCCTACCTCAACACCCGGAAGGCCCCCGTCAAGCCTGCCGGCGCCTACCGACCCCCAGGTGCCCGTGGCCAGACAACTCCTCTGGCGTTCAAGCGTGAAGACGAGGGTGGAGCAGCATTCATCCGCGACGGCGCAGGCTCCGGCGTCGCCTCCGCAAGCAGCTTCGGCAAGCCCCGCCGTCGCGATGTCCCCGGCGCTGACCCCGAGTATCTTCCCCCTGGGGCCGCCCCAGGCGGCGGCGTCCCACTGCCGGGCTCTGAACAAAAAGAACTCTCCAAATCCGCCGCCAAGAACAAGAAGAAGCGTGAAGCCAAGAAGAAGGAAGCAGACGATGCCGCCGCCGCAGCCGCCGCCCAGAAGAACGGTAACCGCGCTGGTGCCAACGGCGCCAGCAAGGGCAACAAGACCAACGGCACGGCCAAGCCCGTCGAAAAACCCGCCGAACCCGAGCCTGCTCCTGCGGAAGAGCCGGGCACGCAGGATAAGAAAATCCGCGGGTTGTTGAAGAAGATGCGTGCTATCGAGGAGTTGAAGATGCGCCTTGCTGGGGGTGAGAAGTTGGAGGATACACAGATGAAGAAGATCCAGACGGAGGATGGGGTGCGGAAGGAGTTGGAGGTGTCGGGCTATACCGGATAGATTCATGCATGCATGCATTATAGCATCTAGACATCTAGAGTATTGGTTGGTTGGTGAATTGGATTCATGTGTGTACTCTGTACTCCCAGTTTCCTATCTAGTGATGAAAATCTAGAGATATACATCCTGGCAATTGGACTGGTGTATCATGCTTTACCCATGTATACAAAACGTCGTATTCAGTCTACATCATACAAACAATAGAACGTGACTCGAATAGCTAAATAACAACCCAACAACCCTGAAACAGATCAACCGGAACTCGGGATTCCTCGGTACCCGCAACCCGCCTCCTCCTCGGAACCTACATAAACCTCGGACCCCATACACACACCAAAGCACCTAAAACCAAACTCCCATACTCTACTACACTGAACCATCAAAGTCAAGATTAAATTAAGTTAAGTTAAGCTAAGCCAATCTAATGTCAGCCCGCCGCTACCGCTCGGCAATCGCGTGCGAATCTTGTCGCCGCCGCAAAGTCCGTTGTAGTCTGACTGTTACCGGGATTCCGTGTATCGGATGTGCGCAGGATCGCGCAGAGTGTGTGGTTGATGAGAGGAGGAGCTTGACGTGAGTTCGTTACTATGAACATGAATAAGATTGTGTGTTGATGTAATGTGTGATAGGTTGAGTAGGGTTCAGGAGCGGAGGGCTCGGCAGACGAACTCACAGTCACATTCACCTGGACATAGATCTAATGATGTTGTGCCGTCGTCGAGGCAACAGTTTAAGAATCCTGTTCATCACATTGAGGCGTCAGAATCACCTTCGCATGCTAGTGACCGGATACAAGATGAAGAGCGCAACGGGCTTGAAATTGCAGCTGCAGCACTGGGCCAGCCTGAAGGTGTCGGGCAGGTCCCTTTTTACACTGGTACCCTTGACTTATACCTTACATTTAACCAAAATAAGTATGCTAATTGCTGGCAGGCGACCAAACTGGCATAACATCAACCCTAGACCTCTGCTCCCCCGAACAACATCTCCCGCGCCACCTGCTCCTCCCAATGCACATGTCGTCATCACTCTCCAGCGAAGATAGAGAATATCTAGCGAGTAAAGGCGTATTCACGCTACCTGGGAAAGAGGCGTGTGATAGTTTGATCCGAGCGTATTTCCGACATGTGCATCCAATTATGCCGATTGTTGAGGCGGATGGGTTGTTGGGTGCTGTTGCGGCGGGAAGATTGGGAGGTTATAATATATTGTTGGTGTGGAGTGTGTTTTTTGCTGCTGTTAATGTTTGTCTCCCTTTATCTAAGGTGCTTTTGTTAGAGTGAGGGCTGACAAAGGTAGTTCATTCCGATACCGATATGCCAGAGTGAGGGCTATGAGTCCCGGAAAGCGATGAAAGCAGCCATGTACTCATGCGCAAAGGTACGTCTTCACCCCCCTCAACCCTAATACAGGATCTCAAGAGAAAAAAAACCAGTCCATGTACAACCACACAACCGACCGGACCACCCTCCTCCAATCCTCCCTCCTCTTGGGCTTTTGGCACTCCGAGACAGACCAACACGCCGCCCCCTGGTACTGGACCGGCATCTCCGTCAATATGTGCCAAATCCTCGGCCTCCACCGCAACCCTGACAACACCAACAACCCCAGTACAACCACCTCCACGCGCCGCAACGCCTCAATCACAGATCGCCAGCGGCACCTCTGGCGACGCCTCTGGTGGACATGTTTCTTCCGCGACCGCTGGATGAGTCTTACACTTGGGCGGCCAATGAGGATCGACTTGAATGATTGTGATATGCCGATGGCTAGGGCAGAGGATATGTTGAGTGATCTTGAAGGTGTGGACGGGGGGACGAAGGAAGCGTTTCTGCCCGGGGATTTGGAGAGGATGGCCGAATTTTGGGTGATGCTGGTGGAGATGAGCAAGGTGCTGGGGAAAGTGTTGAAGTTGAATTATCAGGCGTTGAGGGGGAGGCCTGAGTTGGGGGAGGTTGAGGTGCTGGAGGCGCAGATATTGTCTTGTCGGTGTCCGGATGTTGGTGATGGGGATGATGGGGAGTTGAGTCGGGAGGCGGTATTTTATGTTTATCATTTGCAATTGCATTACCAGTATGTCTTTGTTTCGTGGGATTGGACTGTTACTGACGCAAGCAGGGCGATTCTCATCATGTTCTACCGCCCCTACGGGACCGAATCACCAGAAGGTCTGCATCCAACACAACAACAAAAATGGCAACACCGAATGCGCTGCGAAGCCGACACAGCAGCTTCCCGAACAAACGACATCCTCGATATGTTAGCCCAGGAGAATCTCCTCGAATTTGCCCTTCCAATGACGTACGCACATCAATCTTAAAACCACAATACAATCCGATACTAACAAAGACAGTCCGCCCCTTCTCGTTCCAGCAATGCAAATGCACCTCCTAAACTGCAACTCTGCAAACTCCCTCTCGCGACGATTACGTCTAAACAAGCTTAATGTCTGCATGATGGTCATGGAGGAGTTCCAGAAGGTGTATACCGTTGCGTCGATTTACCGGGGCATTTTTGCAAAGGCGATCCAGCAGTTTTATGCCTGTGATGCGGGTGTTATGGGGATGTCTAGTCCTACTTGGCTTACTGTGAATGCTAATGCAACTGCGTCTGCGAATGTGAAAACAGTTGAGCCTCCTGCGCCGGTGACCGCTCCTGTTGCGTCTGTTCCGGTGGCTGTTGATGCTGGTGCAGGTGTTGGTGATGATGATGGGCAAGTTCAAGCTGGGAATATTCCATTTGGGGGTGATGTGAACATGAACACCGAGATGACTAGTGACCTGATCGATGCGCTGGTTGATGAAGCGTCTACATTCAATTTTTGGGAAACGTGGGGACAGTTATGGGTTGATCAGTGATCGTATTAATACCGATAGACTAAGTAGAATATTATAAAAACAACATTCTTATTGCTTAGGAGGATACAAACCTCCCTTCTCACACTTCGACCCCAATTTCCCCTTTTCCAGATAATTCTCCTTCAAAAAATCAACAGTCTTCTCCCCAGAAAGACCCCTCTCCTTGACATAATGCTCCTCGATAAACGCAACCGTATCAAGACCGACATCTATATCATTAGCAACCACATTCACCGCCAATACACAGAGGGGAGGTAAGCTTACCATCCATCATCCCACAAGGTACAACACCTCCCTCGACAAACATCCTCCTCCACATATCATCGATCTCTTCTGGCTCCGAAACCCCCTCCGCCAGAACCGTCAACGCCTCTCTCTTCACGGCCGCCCAGAGACGGTTAAAAATGAACCCCGTCGACTCCTTTCTTGCAACATACGGAACCAACGCTGCTTCTCTGCTCCGCTCAACGAGGAACGGGAAAATACTGCTACTTGTGTGTCCGTTCGTCATGAGCTCGACAATCATGTTACCGGGGGGCATATAGTAGTGCGTGTTTAGGATTCGAGACCGAGCTTCTGCCTCCGGGGATATCTTGTCGAGCATTTCAGAGGTCTTGTAGGATGACGAATTCGACGCCAGGATACAGTCCGCTGGGGCGAGAGTGGCTAGCTCGGCAAATGTATCAATCTTAAGGGCCAGTTTCTCAGGAACGGCTTCGATGACTAGCCAGGTTGTTGAGACTGCATTTTCCAAGTTGTCGAAGGCTTGGATGTCATTGTTTGGTTGAATTGTGGTGCGTTCGGCGTAGGCAGGCGCGTTCTCGGTGATGTAGGTTATTGCTGCTTGGCGTTGATCGGGGCTGGGGTCGAAGATACGAGTGGCGTAGCCGGCGGAGGACCAGACGCAGGCTATTTAGTTAGTACCTTTATTCTTTTGGATTAGGGTTATTTGCGGGGGAAGTACCTATGCGGCGACCAAGGACGCCACCGCCCAAAATGGTAACGGGGCGGGTGCGGTAGTCTTGAGGGGGGTTCCAGGTGGACATTGTGTGAAGCGGGTTTGGATGAACTAGAGTTGAGTGGTTCTTGGGAAAGACTGAAGCATACTTATACTACTAATGCCTACCACAACGACGTTCCTCGGAAGACATTATATGCTCCATACATACGGACCGCAATACCCGCGGTGAGTGGGCTGTACACGATTCCCTATACTAGACCCCATTCGAATTCAACCAGCAGTAAGTGGAGTTGCACTTCATAGCTCGGGATTTTGACGTAGAAAATGACAAGTTGTTTCCGAGGATTCTATATTCATTCCAGAAAAAAAAAATAGGTCTATATTTAAGTACCGAGGGAGAGCTCGGAAATCGATGACAGTTCGGGTTGTGGGTCTGTCAGTTACTCGGGTCTCGGCTTGCCGGTACGCACGGCAGGCGGGTGGATGGAGGCAAAGGCGGAGGACGCGGGAGAAAAGAGATTATTATTGTTTTTGTGTTATTGTTGAGTTGAAGTGGTGTGGTTGACATGCTTGCTGGACTTTGTAGTGAGAGGTTCTTTATAGTATTCGGTGGTTCAGGATTAGGGTTAGTGGTGTAGGATAATTGCTTTTAGTCTATAGGTAGCTAAACTCTAACAATACCCATACCTACTATATATGCTATTAACTAATTGTATATCAATTCTTAATCTAAACAAAATTCCAACTGAAAAATTATAAGTCTTGTATAATAGACGACTTGGATAGATGCACACTAGACACGAAATCAAATCTTTATCTCTCTATTCTCTATTCTATATTCCATATCTATCTAGCAAAATCTAATAACGAATCAAACAGACTTAGCAGGCCATTTAGTCCTCCTCTCAGCCCTGACATACAAATTATTCGGTCTAATCAACTGAAACATCGGATCATACTCAATCGTGCCATCTCCCTCCCTCCGGAATTCATACCGATACACCAGCTTGGGCAGAAACACCTTAATCTCCTGCAACGCAAAATTAAACCCAATACACATGCGCTGCCCCGTCGCAAACGGCACATAAGCCGCACGGTGTCTATTCTTCACAGCATCCGTATCCCACCGATCGGGATCAAAGCGCGCAGGATTCTCCCACAGAGCCGGGTTATTGTGGATGTGGTGCAAGGCTGCGATTATGACTGCACCTTTGGGGATTTTGTAGCCACCCGGGAGGATCAGGTCGAGTTGTGCGGTGCGGCCGGGTTGGAAGGAGGGGTTGTGGCGGCGTTGGGTCTCCTTGATGTATTTGTCGAGGAAGGAGAGGCGGTCGGTGACGTCTGCTGTAATTTGGGTGGTGTCATCGATGTCGTTGTCGATTAGTTCTTGGAGGAGACGTTCTTGCATGCCGGGGTATGTACAGAGGCCGTAGATTAGCCAGGAGAGGAGGGAGGAGGTTGTTGTGAAGCCGGCAGCGGTGGCGACGACGAGGGACCAGATGAGGCTGGTTTTGGGGAGTTTTTCGCCTTTGTTGTCGGTTGCGCGGATTGCGTAGTCTTTTCCGGTCAGAGAATGAAAATCAGATAGATATATAGATGCAGGCAACATACCAACCATATTTGCCGCCTTCAACGCAGCATCCTGCAACGGCAAATCCTCGACACCACCCCGTTCAGCATTCCGAATCGACTCTCCCACCATCTCCTCAATCCGCTTCCTCAACTCCTGCAACTTCTTCGGTTCTCCAAACGGCAACTTCGCATACCAATCCCCCTTACTCGTAACCTTTTTATTCAACGAGAGCATCTCCGCAACTGCTTCAACCATCTCATGCAGTGGTGCATCCGGTCCCACAAACTGCTCAAAGTCCAATCCCAGTGTCAACTTGCCAACGGCCTGCGAGCCTAGCTTCAGCATGTACTGGTATACGTTCCACGCCTCGCCCTGCTCGTCGAGTTCGTCAAAGACTTTGCACGCATCTTCAACTGTCGCTTGCATCGTGGGCGCATAGTGCCGCACGGCCTTGGGACCAAGCGCTGGAGGCAGAAACTTGTGCGTGACCTTCCACTCTTCTGTATCCGTGTCGCCCAGGAAGATACCCGCGGCAGGGGTTTTGAGGGCGGACAGCGGATGCGCATCGTTGATCTGTTTGGAGAAAAAGTCCGACTCGGCGAAGGCGATTGCAGAGATCTGCGGATCGTTCGTGTGATAGGTCGTCCGTCCCAGGCTCGTTGTCTTGAAGATTGGACCATAGGTGTCGAACAGACGCTGGTGGTTGCCTAGGTGGTCGGGATATACTTCGAAGTAGTTGCCAACGTAGGGGAGGCCATTGGGGCCTGGAGGGTCGCGGACGGCGTGACCGTCGATTGTGATAGCTATGGGGGTTTTGGAGGCGAGAATGTCGGGGACTTCTGAGAAGATGGTTTCTTCGTCTTGGAAGCCAATGCCTGTTATCGTTAGCTGGGTCAGGAAATCGCGAGAAGGAACGTAACTTACCCTGTGCTTCAACGATTGCAAAATGCGCAGCGACTACATACTGCAGTCCTTCAAAGTCCAAGGTCTTTTCCACGGGAAGAAGCTTTGCCGAAGAGACGGGCTCTCCAAGGAGATAAAATTGTTGAGACATTTTGGTGTATATTTGCAAATGAACCTGGCTAGCCTAACTTGCAAGTCTTGCAACAAAGTGTCCGCCCTCGAACTTATATATCATACAAATACCCTACCTAGCAAGACATTCCGAGGTTTCTTTAATTGCCGCATTATATACACTTGTATTAGATTACTATTACGACAATTCACAGTGGTGTGGTCTAGCCTTCTCCCAAATTGATTAGGGTGCGTGTGTAGTACCTCGGAAGATACGCGATTCCGATTGGTCGGTTAAGACTCCGTATAGATCAAATACTGACAGGCGTTTATTTAAAGAAGCGAATATCGCCCAACAATTCAGAAGTCATCAATTCCTAAGCAATTATCTTTTCTAGCAAGTTTTCTGAAGCTGAATACAATGCCGGAATACACAACCCGAGACCTCGCGTCTCACAAGTCCAGAGATGACCTGTGGATCGCCATACATGGAAAGGGTACTTCCTCCTCATACCCTTACACTCCTAAAATGCTAAAACTGATGATAACAGTATACAACGTAACTCCCTACATCCGCGACCACCCCGGCGGCGCAGACGTCCTCCTCGACACAGCTGGTACCGACGCATCAGAAGCATACGACGAAGTCGGCCACTCCGAAGACGCAGACGAAATCCTGCAAACGTACTTCATCGGCACCTTGAAAGATGCACAGGAACACCGTTCGAAGAACAAGACCGTTCGTGTGATTCAACAACCAGCCAAGTCTACGGTGGAGGTGTCGAAGAGCACTGAGAGCTCGGGGAGTATACTCAAGACGATTGCCCTCGTTGCAACCTCGGGCGCAGGCGTGGCGCTCCCTGTATACCTCTTCTTTTCCTCTGGAGGTAATATCGACATCCATCGATTCTTCCCAAAGGGTCTACCCGCATGGCCATCGATAGCCTCACTACAACAAACCGCAACGGCAGGCAAGGGAAGTTTCACAAAGGGTTTCACAACAGCAACCCTCTTCATGAGCACCCTGGTCGCCCTCGCTATCCCCAAACTCTCCGCCCTAACATCCCCCGACTCCGGCTTCATGAAGTACCCACCGCATGTAAAATCGCGCAGAGCACCCAAGCCCAATCCACATCTCGCAAAGGGTTTCCTCAACCCCAAGGACTATAAATCTCTTCCGCTAGTCCGGAAGGATGAACTTGCACCGAACGTCTATCGTTTTGTTTTTGACCTCCCGAAATCAACGGATGTCATCGGTCTTCCTATCGGACAGCACGTTGCTATCAAGGCTGTGATCAACGGGGAGACTGTGTCGCGGTCTTACACGCCGACGTCGAATAACACTGACCTTGGACGCTTGGAACTAGTCATAAAATGCTACCCCGACGGTCTGTTGACTGGCAAATACCTCGCCGGCTTGCAAATCGGGGACACAGTGCAATTCCGCGGGCCTAAAGGCGCAATGAAATATTCCAGAGGTCTTTGTCGAAAGATCGGTATGATTGCCGGTGGAACAGGCATCACGCCTATGTACCAACTGATCCGTGCGATTTGCGAGGATGAAGCAGACGAGACAGAGGTTAGTCTAGTGTATGCGAATCGCGCGGAGGGGGATATTCTATTGAGGAAGGAGTTGGAAGCGTTTGCGAAGGCGTATCCGAGAAAATTGAGAATTTGGTATATGCTTGATCAGCCGGGGAAAGGTTGGAAGTACGGATCTGGGTATGTCACTCCTGATGTTATGCGGGAGAAGTTACCAGCGGCAGCACCGGATACTAGGGTCATGCTTTGCGGGCCTCCGGGGATGGTGAATGCGGCCAAGAAGGGCCTGGTTGGGCTGGGTTTCCAGGCTTCGGGGGCCGTTGCGAAGATGTCGGATCAGATTTTCTGTTTTTAGTTATTGTCAGTGTCAATAAGCTTGTATAGCTTGTATAATAGAGCATTAGAGCAAATCCGAATTTCTACCAGGCAAAAAAACACCGGTCAACGGTTGTCATTGATCTCATCCTAACCGCTATCAACACAACTCCCTCACACGCCATCCGGATATCTTTCACTTCCACGAACGAGCCTCCACGTCCACCCCAGAAACCTCCCGGTGAGGTCCCAGCAATGTAGAATCCCGACTCCATTGAACGAAACAGAGAAAAACGATGCCATGAAATGCATGAGGAGTGGTCATAATGATCGTTGGATATGACATTTCCCGCCAAAAGATATAGAAAAGAGAACAGAAAACGGGTAAAAAAAGATTCGCAAATGTTTCACATAGAAAGCAAACGGGGTAGGGGAGGGAAAGGATCTACGATCGCGGTACGCCAGGCTTCGGATCTGATCTAAACGGAGCGCGAAAGAAGACAAGACGTAGACGCGGTTGAGAAGAGAATTTCATTGCGGAAATCAGATAGCGTACTTGCGGGTCCACTCGCGAGCAGTTGACTCGTACCGGGGACGGTCAGTCTTGTAGACGTGGGCGATCTCGGGAACCAACGGGTCATCCGGGTTGGGATCTGTGAGCATCGAGCAGATAGAAAGGAGAACTATGCCGGTTAGTTTCGAGTCATTGAGTGCAGATACCAGATGCGACGAACTGACCTTTGGAGATTGTGAGAGCAGGGCTCCATTGGTCCCTCAGGATGTCCAGACAGATGCTGCCGTTCGAGTTGATGTTGGGGTGGTAGATACGGGTGGTGAAGTTGACCTTTGGGGGCTTGAAGGGGTAGTCGGTAGGGAAATGGATGTTGAGGAAGAAAACGCCACCGGAGTATGGCGAGTCGCTCTGTGAGGAGTCAGCACTGTTCCGATTGCAAACATACGACTGATGCGACTTACGGGACCCATGATAGTTGCTTGCCAATGGAACTGTTATCACGTATGTCAGTACACTGTTCACTCTTGATGACGTGCGGTCTGATTCCTGACAAGGAAGGATTTGCAGTTTCGTATCTGCCCCGCCGCACCGAGCGATATCACGACCGAGAATCACGAGACCGGGGAGGATGAGAAGGGGAGAAGGGGGGAAGGAGAAGGGAAATCGTACCAGATCCTCTCCGAGAGGGCCAGCAGAGCAGGACGAGGGCGGGTCACTAAATCAGTTAGTATCGTATATCCTCATCTTGTGGTTCTCAAATCCACCCCGCAACGTGGTGGGGTGAGAACACCTAACCATAAAGCTGCGCAGGGAGACGAGGGAACGACATACCGGCCCAAGTCAGTAAGTTCCTTGTTGATTCTCTTAAGAGCCATGGTGTATGAAGGTGTGAGGGAGGCGTGCTAATAGGAAGACTCCTAGTTCGGTAGGAGGCGACGTCGAATGGAATAGGTGGTTTGATTCTGCACGATAGAATAGGTTAACCAGTACTCTTACAAGCAGGTAGAAAAGGAGAAGAGAAGATATAAACATAGATAGATATAGATGGGACTCACAGGCTAAATACGTGGGGTTGTAAAGAAGTTCCAAACAGACAAGGACAGAGGGAGAGAGAGAGAGAAAGAGGAAAAAAGAGAGAAAAGAGAAGAAGAGGGGAAAGTGAAAGAAATGAGGGACGGTATCGTACCGTATGGTATATTACACATCTCACCGCCACATCCACCGCCACACAGTCAGATGCAATTAGAGAATGGTATAGAATACTCCTGACTGATATAAAAATAATCATCTACTCAGCATTTTTAATCTATTTTTTCTTTCTCTCTCTCTATAGTACAAGTATCAAAAACAATTATAAAGTATGTGTCAGCAAGGTACTCGCCACATGCTCCGCGATTTTTTCTTGGGTTTCAAAAACCCGTATTTTCGCCCGACGAGGCGGTGGCGCCGGAATCCGGTACCGTATGTAATTCATTACGAGACTTTTAAATGGCTGTTCTTGGTAGTATATATAAACAGGGTACACATTTATAGGACATATTGATAAGTGATGATATATATGGATATAATCCATGATGTCCAGGAGTAGTATGTACAGAACACCCATGGCACCCCTGCCCTACGGGTATATGCAGGGAACCGGCCAAATCAGCAGAGCCCTATGTCATCGGTCACGTTATCAGATCAGTAAAAGTTTTTGCTTGATATGTTCTATATACATTTATGTTTAATACACGAGATGACCAAAGGAATAGTATGGCTCAGCCTAAACAAACGCCTGGACACCGGTGAGCGCACGGCCAATAATCAGAGCTGTAATAGTTAGCATTCTATGCTCGAACCTGGAGAGAAGGGAAGGTGCTTACCGTGAATGTCACTCTGGCCCTCATAGGTCTGCACCACAAACAGGTTTGCCACATGGCGGGCGATATGGTACTCGTCACTGGTCGCATTGCCGCCCAGAATCTCTTGCAGTCTATAATCACAATTAGCATTCATCCCTAAACCAAAGAAAAAGCAGACATACACTCTGGCACTGGCCAACGCGCGGTCACAATTCTGCCTCTTGACCATCGAGATCATCTCAGGCGTGTTCTTCTTCTCATCCTTCAACCGTGCAACCTGCGTAGCAGCCAGCGTGCCATACGCCGCATCCGTAGCCGCATCCGCCAGCTTCTTCTGGATCATCTGGTACTTCGCCAATGGGTTGCCCTTGAACTGCTTGCGCTCCAACGAATACTCCCGCGCGCGAGCGACACAATCCTCCAAAGCACCCGTAGCGCCAAATGCAATACCCAACCGGGCGCTGTTGAGACATGTAAATGGACCCTTGAGACCTTCGACGTCAGGGAGCATGTTCTCGACGGGAACAGGGCACTCGTCCATCTGGATCATACCCGTGATCGACGCGCGCAGGGCGCTCTTGTTCTTTATCGCGGGCGTCTCCAACGTACCAGGCGGGCACCGGCTGCGCTCAACCACGAACCCACGAATCTTACCGGTGCTCTGTAACTTAGCCCACACCAGCATCACGTCAGCAATAGGCGAGTTGGTAATCCACGTCTTCGAACCAGACAACAGATACACCCCCTTCTGCGTCGGGTGCTCCCTTGCAACCGTCTCCATCGAACCGGGATCCGAGCCGTGGTTAGGCTCCGTAAGCCCAAAGCATCCAGACAGCTTGCCCTTGGCCAGACCAGGCAAAAGTCGTTGCTTGAGTTCCTCGCTGCCGAACTCGTAGATACCAGTCATAGCCAGTGACCCCTGCACAGACATTCCAGAACGGTATCCCGAGTCCACGCGCTCAACTTCCTTGGTGATCAATCCGTAGGCGACAGTGCTCACGCCCGCGCAGTCGTATCCGTGAAGGTTCGCGCCAAGGAGGCCCAGTTCGCCCATTTCTTCGAGGATTTTGCGGTCATAGTCTTCGTTTCTGTAGGCATCTTCATCTTTCTTAGCACCGCCCTAGACCATCTCAATTTGTTGGTTGGGGTAGGGACGCATACCAAGCACCCGTGGCATCAATCGCTCCTGGCAGTATTGCCGGGCTGTGTCCTGAATGGCCAATTCCTCCTCTGTATACAACTCAGATGCAGCCAAAGGGTCCTCCCAGTTGAATGTCGCATAGCCTCGTGTCGATGTGTTGTGAGCTGCTAATCCCCGGGCGATAGGAGTGAGACGGGGAGTCGCCGACTGGAAGTGGCGCGACGCCGCGCGAAGGCCGAAGCGATTCATCATGCTAGGGAAGCGGGTAAGAGTAATTCAAGCGTCCGCAAAAATAACTCTTCTTTAATTAAAGAGAAAACGAAAGTTATAAATAACGTCCTTAGAAAATGAATTTGCGGGGAAGCTTGTCCGGACAAGAAAGTGAGAGTGGCGGCGATTTGGCAAATCAACCTCGGCTGGTACTCGGTAGAACACGGAGTTCCACAATGAGATACAATAGGAAATATTGAGTCGTACAGCAGTTATTCTACAATAAAATACTAAATAGGCTCAATGACCTCGTATAAGGGTAGAAACTCAAATTGCCAAGCACTGGTGTTTCCTATACGGTCATGCCGAAAGCCAAACGGGTATATCATAGGAGTAGCATTGCAATCAGTTGACGCATTTGCGTCTCTAGATCATAGAGTTTGATTCTGTATAACATTGGCGGCGTAGGCATAACTCATGAAGACCATATAGCCATGGCCCGTACAAGTGCCTCTAACCGGGTACCTACTCTATACACAGGCGGCTGGAATCAGCCCTACTGCCGGCTGAAATGGTCTTGGCTCGGAAACTAGTTATACGTCTGCTTTCGGCTGCTCACCCCTATTCGGGCCAAATGCCTGAAAGACTGCCCGAATCACTGTACCGTCTCGGCTTCGGTGACACCAACAAATGACGTGACGGATATAGACGGCGATCTACGGCGATTTTGGTAAGATCGCCCTCGGTTATGGCATCTCTATCGGATACCAATACCATTGATGCGTCACGCAGGCATTTGCGACTGTAAGAAATCAAAGACCCCCATGGGAAAGTGCTCTTCATCAAATCCCCATAAATCGCTCATCATCGGATCTATCGATCCCTCAGAAAATCCTAGCTGCTCATTTTCGCGGATCGTACTGGGTCCAAACCCATTGCTGCGCTCTGCGGACAGAGGAGCCACGCCTAGTAAAGGAGGTGGGTGGTTGAGGATGGTATCCCGTTGACCTAATGGTTGTGCTCCGGGAATGATAATTGGTTTGAACATGGGGGAGACATCGTGAGAGTTCTGTCGGGGAAAGGGCTGGTTATAGGAATTCTTTTTTTCCCATTCCTCAAATCCAGTGAGCATCTTTCGTAGACCGCGGGCGAGATGGTGGCTGAGATGGCGTTCGCTAGCTCGCTTACTGCACGATACCATCAATTCGATAATCCGCCCGACTAATTCCCGAACATATACGATATCGATGTGCAAGCCGGCTGAAGCGATAGAATTTCGCTGTCCTTGGCATCCTTTGGCCGCGATCTTCAAAAGAAACACTGCAGCAAAGGTGATCATGCTGTGTAGGTATAGCGGAACGCCAACCAGACCTCTTTGGATATCCGGTTCTTCCAAGACAGTGAGAAGCGTACCAATGGCTGATTCAACTGCTAGATTCGCGCGTTTCTTGCGCTCAGGTGACATGATGCGAGTTGAAGCTGGTGAGTGGTAGGTTCGCAGAGCAACTGAGTTCACCTGCAAGCGGGAAAAGTGATAATGCAAATAGACGGCTCTGTAAGGATATGCACCAACGTGCCAGCTTCCAGCTGTTCTAGTTAGCATATAATACACTAAGTAGGAAGAAGCATCATACCTATACGAGGTATCCAGGTAGTACACCATCCGTCTAGGTCGGCATCAAACTTGTCGATCTTTGAAAAGTCACTTTCCGGGACTTCTAGATCCACATCTGGGCCAAATGCATGGTATATCCGAGTGAGGATGATAAACAGATCAACTTGACTATGTAAGCGGATGTCGCACTGTGGCGCTGTCGGAGAAAGAACAAAGGTGTTATGATTCGTGATGCTGGGATCCTCGTGGATAATGGGTGGACGCCCGTATGCGATAGAGAAATGATGCTCCAATGTCTATGATAGTCAGTACGAACCACACCAACAATTAGGCAGGATTACATACATAGAGGAGATACCACAGCCTTGCTTGCTCCTTATGCTCTGGAGAGCCTTGTGCAGCCTTGCGAAAACACTGGTGCAAGTTGCGCTCAGTTGCAATCCGTACTGCATACCCAGACAACTTCCAGCTAACATCAGCAAGCCAAAAAGCCGCTATACACAGCCCACGCAAGTCATCCAAGGTGTGGTGTCGGTCAAGCATAGACCCGGATGCGAGTTTCGCGAATTCGGTGTAACAAGTGTCAAATGTGCGTTCTTTGTTTGGCATGTGCAAAGCCGTTACAGCAAGGATGGCGGCAGACAGCATTGACGATGAGTTCCGGACGGATGCAAGATCCTTGTGTACCAGTGCTATCCCATCCCAAAGATAACGGTTGAGAACCTGGTCAAAATACTGAAACAATTCTTCTGCCTCTTGTAGTTCCACAATACCTCGCGATATAAAGTCCGTCGCAAGCGAGTGGTCAGATGACTCGTTCTCCCCTGGAGAATTTGCCCGAATATCGCTCAGCTGTGTGACTTCGTATAAGCTCCCCATCGGCGCGGTGACCAAGGATGATGTGCCATTCTCCTCCCGATCCGGGGAATACCGTGCCGGTTGTCGTGAGAAGTTGTAGTTCGACGATATGCGTGGGACCGTTGGTGCAGCCACATTGGCGTCAATAGAATTGGTTCTCCTGTCGCTACCCGTCGTTATTCCTATATCCTCGGTCGAAGCGGTCGATCCTTTGCGGTCTCGTCTCTTTGAAGGCGCGTCCATAGTTCTGCTGACGGCTTGGTAGTACGATAATTCCGGTAGTTGGGCTTTTCTCAGCAAATCCGACATTGCAAGTTCGACGGTCGTTTTCCAACTAAACACAAACACATTCGCATTAGCATATCACCGAGACCTGGATCAGGCATGGGATAGACACGAACTCAGTCTCGTCTTCTAACAAAGTCTGGAGACTCTTGTGGACAACACATTCCAAATTCATACGTCGACATCTCTGGCAAATCGATTCACCAGGGTTCATATTACACCGGACCTTGTGCTTCTTACATTCGGTGCAGGCCCGGATCCTGCGTGAGATCTTGGGAATGTGCCCGTCTGGTGCAACTATCCCTTGCGGCGGAGATGTCGATGCGTGTTCGCCATTAGCCTCGAATTGGATGCGGTTTCGCTTCATTTTATCAATTGATGGACTCAAGGTGAGGTACTCCGTACTGAGTACTATGTACTCATCCTGGAGAATCACTCGTACTCGTCGAGATAAGCCAGATCCCGCACAATGGCCGTCTATTAAGATAGAACTATGCGCGCACAATGACTCGACAGCCAGCGACAAAGATATGGGTATGAGATGTTATCCGAAAAGCTCGGGAGGAGCCTATTATCACGAGGTCGGTACGCTTTACCCAATGCGGAAACCCGAGCTCTAGAAGCGGGGCCGCTTGGAGATTGGCGCGGGGATGTGTCACGTGATACACACCAAGGCCGATTCAGCGCTATTCCCTATAGGGCTTAATGATGTAGGCGCGTTGGAGTTCCGCGGCGCGTTTCTGCGCGGTGGTCGATCCTGCCGGACTTCCAGTACTCCTGGCGATAGCTAAAGAAGATAGAACAGAGCGACCATGGGTATTAAACGTGAGTATAATCCCTTAATTATTCAATTTTTCTATTCGAGTTGTGAATCCACACCTGCAGGGTGCTAATGGCAGACACTAGAGCTCTACCAAGTGATCGCAGAAAATGCGCCCGATGCGATCAAGACGGGCGATATCAAGCAGCAGTTCGGCCGTAAGGTCGCAATTGTGAGTTCCATATCCCAAATAATCTTTAGCTAGGCTGCCAGGAAGCTAACAAATGTCACTACTAACACACAGGACGCGTACGTCAACTCGGATTCCGCACATGACTGAAAACGCAGGAACAGAGCTAAGGCTAATCCCATTACAGATCAATGAGTATCTACAGTTTCATGATCGCCGTACGCTCCGAAGGCCAGCAACTTATGAGTGACACCGGCGAGACGACATCACATCTGATGGGCATGTTCTACCGCACATTACGCATGGTGGACAACGGTATCAAGCCCCTATACGTGTTCGATGGCGCACCACCGAAGCTCAAGTCGGGTGAATTGGCCAAGCGTTCTGCACGAAAGTCAGAGGCTACTGAGGCCCATGAGGAGGCCAAGGAGACCGGTACTGCGGAGGATGTGGAAAAGTTTTCGCGCCGGACGGTCAGGGTGACAAGGGAGCATAATGCGGAGTGCAAAAAGCTTATGAAGCTCATGGGTGTTCCGTATATTGATGCGCCAACGGAAGCTGAAGCTCAGTGTGCGGCACTCGCACGAGCCGGCAAGGTTTACGCGGCTGCTTCGGAGGATATGGACACATTATGCTTCGAGACGCCGATTCTTCTGAGGCATTTGACGTTTGCTGAGCAGCGGAAGGAGCCGATTCAAGAGATTCACTTGAATCGTGCGCTCGAAGGACTTGGTATGGACCGCAACCAGGTATGCACGTGCTCTCTTTTTGTGATCCTCTGGCAGAAAACTTACTACGGCTTAGTTTATTGACCTCTGTATCCTGCTCGGATGCGATTACCTGGAACCCATTCCCAAAGTCGGCCCCAACACCGCGTTGAAACTGATTCGCGAGCATGGTAGCCTGGAGAAGGTAGTTGAACACATGGAAAGCGACCCCAAGAAAAAATTCGTAATTCCCGAAGACTGGCGGTACCAAGACGCGCGAGAATTATTCATCAAGCCAGACGTCCGCGATGCGGACCACCCAGACTGCGATTTCAAATGGGAAGCTCCCGATGTGGAGGGACTCATCGACTTCCTGGTGAAGGACAAGGGATTCAACGAGGATCGTGTGCGCAACGGTGCAGCGCGTCTGCAGAAGAATCTCAAATCAGCACAGCAGTCGCGGTTAGAAGGGTTTTTTAAGCCGGTGGCACGAACGGACGAGGAGAAGGCGAGTCTGAAGCGCAAGAATGAGGAGAAGATTCAGGATCAGAAGAAGCGCAAAAAGGATGAGGCCAAGGCTAAGAAGGAGGCTAAGGCGAAACCTCGTGCTTCTTAATCTAGTTGAGGCTATGATGTATGATAATTGTTCCTTGATGACGTTTGGCTATGCAATACTACTTCTGGTATAAAATTCTCGGAATACACATACTTTAACAGCGAGAAAGCAATGGTCAATATAAAAATGAATTATAGTCTCCTTGGACTTTAGGATCAACCCGGGATGAATCCGAATGGACGGTCATTGGCCAGTGACGTCACTTGAGATTGGTCTGTTTAGCGGTGTTGTAGACATGAATGACTTTATATATTTATCTGCTGGTAGATTTCACATATGGCAAATGTTGTTTCAGTCGAATATGGTTGGTCATGGCTAATAGTGCTGAAAGTGTTGAAAGTGCTGGTGCCAATGCCAATATATATCGCGAAGTGGAATGCAGCCACATGTATCCAATTATAAAATTCACGCAAAATACTACATATCACACACCACTCCAATTAGCAGCACGAGGCCAAGAGCCCAAGAGGATCACAAATCAAGCACTAGGTAGACTTGCTGCAAAAAGTGAGGAGAAGATAGACACAAACGGAGTGAGGATCAGACTGTCAAAAGGGGAGATTTCATGCATCAGCTACGGGTGCATTCTAAGCATGACATATACAGAGTACGGTCTAGAGGAGTTTCATCTGGATAATTTCACACATCAAATATCACATAGAATATTGGTGTTTGCTTGTATAGAGTGGCAATGATCATGGCATGTTTAGTCTAGGTAGACGAGTCAAACCCACAACACCAGCAGGTACGGATGCCAAAGAGAGAAATAGTAAGAATAAGCGAATGATCGTTGCAGAAGATCAGATGGAGTGTGCACGACTATCAGCGACAGAACCCGAGTCAAATAGATTAAAGAAGCGAAGAGACGAAAAGGAGTAGACGCGTTGGAGAAGACATCATCTCATGGTGATGCGCGTAGGCATAAACAACAAGAATACTCTTCTATATATATGATCGTATTATATTTCACACTATAAAATAATAAGAATAAATCAAGCAAATCAAACAGGCTAATACGCACAAAAAAGAGCAAAATAAAAACAAAACCGGACGTGTAGGCAAAAGTTGATCCTGGCCCTTTGCCCGCTGCCCTATAAAGTCGGCGGATGCCCCGCGCATCGTCTCCTCCCCTTCCGTCACTTCTTCTTTCCTCCTTCTCTTCGATCTCTCCACCACTCAAACAAACAAAAAAATAGATAAGACATTGCCTCGCCTGATATATACTTCTTCTACACCTATATATCTCCACAAACAACCACACCGTCATCATGCCCCCAAAGAGAGCTGCTGCCACGCCCGCAACTAAGAAGGCCGCCGCTGGCCATGCTTCCTACCGCGGTATGTTTTTACTGATCCTGCTTCACCAACACATCGCGTAGAATTGATATAACCATCGCCTTGGTCGCGAATAAATGCTGATTTTATCCATATAGATATGATTAAGGATGCTATCGTTAATGTGAGTTGATCACGTCTTACACGTTGGGCGATCTATCTCGACTCTCCCCGACCGTGACACGTCTACACACGCCCCTCTCTCGTCGGGCATCTTTGGTCTGATTTTCGAGCTGGTCGCTGACTTTTCCCCTTTCTTTTTCCTATAGTTGAAAGAGCGGAATGGTAGCAGGTATGTTTTTAAATATTATTTTTCTTTCGTGTTCTCTGCGCGGTGGTCGATGTCGCCGGACAAGCGACCAACCGTGTCCCTCTATCGCAATGAATCGCGCAGCTAACACGACCTTCGCAATAGTCGCCAGTCCATCAAGAAATATGTTCAGAACAACAATGACCTCAACAACGCGTCTCCTGCCGTTTTCGACAACCAGTTCAACAAGGCCATCAAGGCTGGTGTTGAGAAGGGTGATTTCACCCAACCCAAGGGTAAGTTCTCCTGCGCGTGACCATTTGTGAATTCTGTACGACAAAAAAATGGACATGCACTCCATGTTGATGTGCGGACACGGTTATTGTTTATGGATCAACTGACGCGTCTCTTATCTACAGGTCCTTCTGGTCCATTGAAGTTGGCCAAGAAGGACGCTGCTGAGAAGCCTGCGCCCAAGGTGAGTCCACATCTGTCTCACTTATTCCAAGGTAGCATGTCACTGATAATTGTATAGAAGGCTGCTCCTGCTAAGGCCGCTCCTGCGAAGGCTGCCACCACCAAGAAGGCCGCCCCCAAGAAGACCGAGAAGGCTGAGAAGGCCGAGAAGGCCGAGAAGACTGAAACCGCCCCCAAGAAGACCACCAAGAGTACCACTAAGAAGGCCACCACTGCTACCAAGAAGAAGACTGCTGCGAAGCCCAAGGCCAACACAGCCAAGCCCCGCAAGACACCAGTTGCCGTACGTGACCATTCCTTATTCTCAATCGGTGAAATTTTGTGCTGACAGAAAACAAGGCTCCTGCCATCATTGAGAAACCTAAGATCATTTCGACGACTAAGTCTGGCCGCGTGACAAAGACGACGGCCCAACCCGAGTCGGCTCCCAAGAGGGCGGCTCCTAAGAAGGCGTAAACTCCGAATTTTTTTTTTTTCTTTTTGAGAATCGTCCCTTCTCCATCTCCATCGCGTCCTACGTCTTTCACCTTTCGTTCTTCATGCGCTTCGAGTGATATCCTTTTTTGGGTTGTATCAATTGGGTGTTCATTTCTTCCCCTTCGGTTGTAATTTTTCCTTCTGTGACTTTATTTCCCTATGTGTTTCCTTTGTCGCGTTTGGGCTATCATTCTATGTTAGTGATCATTCGCTTTTTCCGAAATGTTGGTTGGGTCGGCGTCTTGCGGTTTTTTATGCAATGTTTTTTCTTCTGGTGATTGGCTTCGATGTCTAGTACCTGTTGTTTATGGTGATACTCAATGAATACTTTTTTCCAGTTCAACTTTGGGTTCGTCGTAATTGCAGTTCATGTTTTAGCCTAGATGAACAGAATTACTACGTAATATTACATAGTAAGGTGAAGATGGAGATTGTGTTACCACTCTATGATTCAACCTGCTTATCGAACGCGTCGAGGATCGGGAGGGCTACTCCGTGGAGTCACATGATATTACACGTGATTGCGCCCGCGAATCGCTTACCATTTGCTCGGTATCTATCCAGACCGAGATCCGGGTCAATACCACAGAACGACCCCAGCCAGTCTGAATCCGATCTATCACACAGTTCCGCCGACTTCCGCATGTAAGGTTTGATAAAGTTATTACAGATACTGTCCAGCGAGGCCTTGGGAATTTTGATCAGTAATACATATTGGGGCCTATCATCGTACCTAAATGGGCTTTTCCACAGCCATAAAACTACTGCATGTCTATCAGAGGATTGCATATTTTTATCATCCGTGTGGCGGTGGTGTGGAGGTACTTTTTTTGGACGTGCTCCATACCAAGAGTTCGTTCAGGGGATGACTTTCAGGGAGGGCATACGGAGGATTATTTATAGGTTTTATTCTAATGGGATGAGAGATTCTGTAGTATGTCACTAGTGATTATTGCACTTGAACATCAAGAATACAGTGCTTCGCTCGTACGGGGACATGGTACAGCCTTATGAGTGTCTATTGTTGTTCCAAAAATAGCACATATCTCGGAGACGGGAGCATGTTAGAAGGATATTATTCGGTTGGCAGGGTTATAGAGAAAGTAAAAACGTTGACACTCGGATTGAAGATTCAATCAATATATTGCAGAGTATGTACTCCGGGTCATTAGTAGAGTACATGTGTGTTGTCTAACTGGTTTGAGGCGTCCAGGCTGTAACGGAGGTCCTGACGATCAGGGATAGCCAAGTATCGTTCAATGTGCTCTTTGAACAAAAGCCTTTGACTGAAGCTTAGATCGTAAGGACGACATTGGTAGCTGTAGTGTTTACATGTTTACATCTACGGAGTAAGTCAATGTCTTTGCATACTCGGTTCGGAGAAGTATAGATCGGATAAGGATGCAGATGTGTAATCTGTATGTATATAAGAATAATGCAGAATATTTCGCGATACAGATATCTTCAGAGAAATACATATGAGATGCAAGAGATACGAGGGGTTACATGTTCGTGGCAGAGATACTGGTAGAGTGCAGAGGATGTATGTATAGCACGGTAGAATTACCTGTCAAATGATGAACGCGCAATATAAAAACCAAAACAGTTAAATTGATATTATTGTGTGATTATTCATATCTGTCATAATAATATTCTTAGTCTGTTAATCCTCTATTTTGCTCTCATTATTACTACTGTTATTACTGCGACTCCTACTGCGACTGTCTCCCGCCTCCGTTTTCTCCCCTTCTTTTTTCACCACTTTCTCGTTCTTACTCTTACCACTATCTTCTCTTTTCTCTTCCCCATCGACTTCTTTTCTTTTCTTATACTAATTGTCTCATTCATCCAATACTCAGACTGTCTATCAGATAATCGATACTGTATCTCCCTTTCCTCAACTCGACACGTCGCTCTCCCTCGCCTGGTGCCTGCCTCCTGATCATGCCTATCGGTCGCTGAACGTCTTTCCTCTGTGCCACGCCCTTTCCGGCTGGCTGCTCATACTATACTTGACAACTACTGTGATATTGCGACTCAACAGCCTCTGATTGACATTTCACCCCCGAAGCCTTTTTCTCCCGGCCGTTTCCCTCCAACGCAGACCTCACGTCACACTCGATCACCAAAACTCCTCTTTTACTCTTGACTCTTTTTCTCTCCTTTAAATCTCGGCTTCTTTCGTCCTTACGCTCTTTTATTTCTTTCGGTTTTTTTTTTTTTTTTTTTTTTTTTTTTCATTAGCGGGCGTCCTTTCTTTTTTGACCCTCTCCTTCGCAGCGCCATGCCGTCTTTCGCCAACGACTATCATACCGCGACGCCTCCACCCGT